GGTTTTTATGACAATTGACAACGGTTTCATGGTCATCATTAGGCTCTTAATTCTATATTCTTATTGGATTCAATTTTTGCCATTTGCCATGGGGGATTTGAACCTGTGTGCACGGAACATTGTCTGGCCTCTAGATTAATAGTTCTGCAATTATACCACTTGGCCATCTCCTCCCCACCTAGTAACTCCCTAAAGCTTGTCCACAATCTACAAGGCGTAAGTCAGTGGTGTGAAGCAATACTATCCACTTGCCTGGATGACTGCAGCTCTAACGCCCAAGAAGCTTGACACGACCCAGGACAAAGTAGCCCAATTGATTGGCACTAAATCCATAAACATCCACTCTCTCTCCACCGTCGACACTCAGTAGCAGCAATCTAATAATCTACAAGATGCACTGTAGAAATTCACTAAGGCTCTTTAGACCACCTAGAAGGCCAAAGGCATCAAATGCACAGGAAGATCACCATCTACAACTTCCCCTCCAAATGACTCTCTATCTGGTTTGGAAATATATTGCTGTTCCTTCAATGTAGCTGGGTTAAAATCCTGGAACTCCTTCCCTGACAGCATTGTGGTTGTCCCTAAAGTAAACTTACTGTAGCAGTTCAAGAAAGTAGCTCATCGCCCCCTGAAGACCAATTAGAGATGGACGGTAAATCCGGCCCAGCCAGCGATGTCCACATCCATGAATGGATTTGTAAAATCAAAAGCACTTAAATAAAAAGAGAAAAAGCTGGTTACACCTAGCCAGTCTGACAGCATCTAACAGAAAGATATAATTTTCCAAAAAAAGTTACATTTGGCTCAAAACAATAACTCTTTAACATCATTTGGCAGATATAATTCACTTTAAAAGTTTACTATAACTCTTCGCTGGAAGGATATGACTTTCTGTCTCTACTGTCAGAGTTATTTGAGCACTTGCTGTTTTATTCAGATTTGTAATATCCACAGTATTTTGTTTGTATTTCAGAAGTATTTAATCGGCTATAAAATCATCCTTTGGTTGTTTTTCATGCCACAGATTTAGTCCTCTTTCCTTCCCACTATTTTGCATAAAGCAGCTCCTCTGTTGCTTTTCATTCTAATCAAGCAGAATTTTTATCTGGACCTTCGACTACGCGCTCCATCTCCAGTACTATCATAGTTCCTCTGATTAATACTGCCATTCACTCACTCCTTCGTTTCGGCAGCTCTGAGATTTCATAAATTCCTAATCCTCTGTTTCTTTAAGCCAGTTTGTAGCATTACCACTGGTGACTATGATGTGGTGGCAATTTGTGCCGGCAGCTCACCCACTTCACCTACCACTAAACATTGATACACATGCCTGTGTATCGTTTTACTCTGCTTTGAATTTTCCTTATCCAATTCATCCCATTTCTAAACTATTCGTTATGCTGGAACAAAATCAGAAGTTGCTGGAAGCTCAGCAGGTCTGGCAGCATCTGTGAAGAAAAAATCAGAGTTAACGTTTCGGGTCGGGTGACCCTTCCTCAGACCCAAAACATTAACTGATTCTTTTTCTTCACAGATGCTGCCAGACCTGCAGAGCTTCCAGCAACTTCTGTTTTCGTTCCTGATTTACAGCATCCGCAGTTCTTTCGGTTTTTATTCGTTATGCTGCTTGTCTTTGGGCCCCCTGTGCATCTTAATTTCCCTGCCCCACAGCACCAAATAAACTCCTTGTGAAAACATTCATCATAGGCTTGTTGCAGAAATCCCTCCTTAATCAGAATTGCATGTATGTGCCATTTCTCCGAGTAGGTAATAACGTTATGGACAGCAGTGAAAGAAGCACATCAATAAGCCTGAGTTTAAAGGTAAAGCAAGATGCCTGGCCCCCTGTAGTATCCCTATGATACTGAGATTTTTTACTTTAATCGTTCATGAGTTGTGGGCTTTGCTAGCCAGTCAGTATTTATTGCCCATCCTTAATTGTCATGAGGACAGTAACAAGGCGCCTGCTTTGCTGTGGGTTTGGAGTCAGGTATAAATCAGACTAGGCAAAGGCAAGAGATTTCCTTCCCTAAAGAACATTGGTGAACCAGATGGATTTTAGACATTTGACAGTCGTTAAATGATTGCCATTATACTAGCTTCTTATTCTAGATTTTTAATGAATTCAACTTTCAGCATCTGCCATGGTGAAATTATAACGCATATACTCAACTTGTTGTTCTGTGTTACCAGTCCAATGACTATATCTCTATATCACTGCTTCCCCAGGCTAGATCTCCCTTTGGGTATGCTGAAAGCAGTAAGTGAATGCCCTTTCCTTCTGTCCTGCAGCTCTCTGCCATGGACAGTGCTGCTGAGGGTTATCATTTTTACATTGGGCTTGCTCTTGCCATCAGTTCCAGCATCTTCATCGGAAACAGTTTCATCTTGAAAAAGAAGGGGCTGCTACGCCTGGCCAGCAAGGGGGTGATGAGAGCAGGTAAGAAAGCAGCAGACAATCCTGACCGTCATACGGGTACCTGCAAACCATTGGGAGAGCTGGCTCTCAGACATGGTTTTGAAGTAGAAATTTACAAATACTTTTCAGTTTCACCTTTACTACGTTCTACTGCCGTTATGCCGTGGCATTGACCCATTTCCCCATTCATCAGTTCCTTGGTGCTCTGGAGAACAGGTAATTGCTGTCACAAGAACATGCTGTGACTGAATTCTCACACAGCTACACTGTAAAAGACTTATACGCTGACCTAGCACTACTTTATCACCTGACTTGCTGCATTCAAACTCTCACTGTCCCATCTCCCTGAAGGTGCTCTGTCTACCCATCCCCTGAAGGTGCTGACCCTCTCTCCCCCTTATCACGAAGGTGCTAACTGTTCTGCTGCTCGCCCCTCCCTCAAATTGCTTACTCCATACCCCTCTGCTGAAAGATTTGGGACTGTGCTACTAAACCCAGGGGCCTCTCTTTATATTTAAATTTGATAAGCTGCTCAACTTGGGGAACATTACTGTTGAGCCCAGTCCTCATTCAGCAGTGAATTCTGATAGTCAATCAGCATGGAAACAGATCCGTTGGTTCAACTTGTTCATGTCGACCAGGTATCCTAAACTGAAGTAGTCCCAGTTGCTGCGTTTCGCTGATATTCCTCTCAACCTTTCCAATTCATGTACCTGTCCAAATGTCTTTTAGATGTTGTAATTGTACTCACCTTTACCACTTCCACTGGCAGCTCAATCCATACAAAGTTGCCCCTCAGGTCCCTTTTAAATCTTTCCCCTGTCACCTGAAACGTACACTGCCCAGTTTTGGACTCTCCAGTCCTTGGAAAAAAAGACCCTAGGCTATTTGCCCTATCTATGCCTGTCATGATTTTATGACCCTCTATTACATCACCCCTCAGCTTCCTGTATTCCAGGGAAATATGTCCCAGCCTATCAAGCCTTTCCTTATAACTGAAACCCTCCAGTCCTGGCAACATCCTTGTGAATATTTTCAGTACCCTTTCTAGTTTAACAACATCTTTCCTATAGCAGGGCGACCAGAATTGTTTGCGATATTCTAAAAGTGCCCTCACCAATGTCCTGTATAGCCGGAACACAACATCCAAACTCCCATACACAAAGGTCTGACCAATGAAGGTAAACATGGCAAATGCCTTCTTTACCACCCTGTCTACCTGCAACACCACTTATAAAGAACTATGAACCTGCACCCTTGGTCCCTCTGTTCAACAACACTCCCCAAGGTCCTACCATTTACTGTGTAAGTCCTACCCTGGTTTGTCTTACCAAAATGCAACACCATGCATTTATCTAAATTAAACTCCATCTGCCACTTCTCAGTCCATCTAATCAAGATCTTGTTGTACTCTTAGATAACCACCTTCACAGTCCACTATACCACCAATTTTGCTGTCATCTGCGAACTTACTAACCACACCTCCTATGTTCTGATCCAAATTGTTGATATAAATGACAAACAACGATGGACCCAGAACTGATGCATGTGGCACACTGCTAATCACAGGCCTCAGTCCAAATAACAACCCTCTACCACCATCCTCTGTCTTCTACCATCAAGACAATTTTGTATCCAATTGACTATCTCTCTCTGGATCCCATGTGATCTAACTTTACTAACCAGTCTACCATTCAGGACCTTGCTAAAGTCCATGTAGACAATGTCTACTACTGTGCCTTCATCTGTCTTCTTGGTAACCTCTTCAACATTCAGTTTCTCACACTGAAAGCCATGCTGACTATCTCTAATCAGTCCTTGCCTTCCCAAATGTATGTAAACCCTAACTATCAGAATTGCCTCCACCAATACACCTACCACTGTCAGATTCACCAGTCTCTAGTTCCCTGGCTTTTCCTTGCAGCCTATCTTAAATAATGGCACAGCTTTAGACACCCTCCAGTCTCCCAGAACCTCACCCATGGCTGTTGATGATACAGATGTCTCTGCAAGGGGCCTCACAATCTCTTCCCACATTGTTCTGCAGTACACCTGATTGAGTAGCTGGAGCTTGGTCTGAATTCAGATTAGTCAATCCTTTCTCAATGACATTATAATGTTCACAACCTCAGTCATGGCTTTCCATACCTTGATATCACAATCCTGATGTGGAGTGAGGAGCTGGAAATCAAGCCCCACAAAGCCATGATTTGTCACAAGTAAGAAATATGACCAGTTTAATCTCTAGTATGTTTAACGCTTTGACTGTGACCACTCTCTAAAAGAAACTTGCACAAGGTTTCATCAATGATTACGAAAATCAGACACTTATTTATTATATCAAACTTATCGTCCGATATGTGGGAAAAGATTATTAATTATTAAATGCAATCTTAAATCATATCCCCTTTAAATCTAAACACTTACTTGTGCACTCACACATAGGATGGATAGACAGATGAGGCAAACCTTATTTAAGAATATTGTGGTGGAAAATACAGTCAAAAAAGGCACAAAGTCCAAAGACCAAAGTCTCAGCCAAATGGAGTGGAATTAGTGACTTCTCAGTTCGTTTTCTAGGGATCATATATTCGCTGTGATGAATCTCAATTCCCTAACTAGTCAGTTGAACCTAGGTCATGGCTTGAATTAAAGGCTTGCTTTTTTTGAATAATCTATGAACTTTATTTTTAATTAAAAAGAGAGAAAGATCCTGCTTGCTTACAGGCTTTTTGAAGGTCTGAGCATCTACTGCTCTTCAGACCTGTTATAAACTGCACTTAAACTAATTCACAGCTTGTTACAAAATAAGTTTTTTTTTCATTTTCAAGATAATCAATTCCAAATCCAGCGCGAGAACACCATCCCACAGTTCCACTTTCCTTCAAATTATAAATAAAACAATTAATAATCAAAGCTTCCAGTTTCTGGTTTATATTTCAAAATAAATTATCTGTAGTCTATGCACTGAACTGATGTGACTGAATATGGGGCATTGTCATGAACATGGATCATAAACCCTGATTGTAGATCAATCTAACTTCAATTACAACATGCTTTTTCTTTCAAAAGTAAAAGGGATATACAGGGAAAGGTTAATCTCATATGTAAATTCAGTGGCTGTCTGGGGAATAGAGAGAGACACTCTGGAATGTCACACCTGATGAGCTGTTAAAGAAGCTTCAAAGGGAGAAAATGCACTGCAACCTGAACTTGTGACTATCGTGTCATGGAGTAATACATCATAGAAAGAAGCCCTTCACATTGTGTCTATGCCAATCATAAAGCACTTATCTACTTACATCCTATTTCCTAGCACTCGGTGCATATCCTTGTATGCTATAGTGCTTCAACTTTCATCTAAATATTTCTAAAACACTTTACTGTTTTTTTTCTGGACCCAGAAGTGAAACATCCAGTATGTCATGAGACATGGCCTTCCAGTCACAAAAGCAACCTTAAGTCAGCACATTCTTGCCACTAATCCACTCAGGATCCAATTTGTCATATTGACTAGATCTCACAGACCCTCACCTACTTGACCAGTCTGCCATGCAAGATCTTGCCAAAAGTCTTACTGAAGTCCATTTGGACTACATCCACTGCACAATCCCCATCCACACACCTAGTCACCTCCTCAAAAAATTCAATGAAATTTGTGAACCACGATTTTCCTCTTAGCCATGTTGACTATCCTTAATACATCCTTGTCACTCCAAGTGGAGAAACGTTCTGTCCTTCAGAATTTTTTCTTAAAGTTTCTCTCCCACTGATATTAGATACCACATTAACTATATTGCAATCTTCTGGCACCTCACCCCAAACAATCTGAAAATTCATGTCAGAGCCTGTTAATTTCTCTCCCCACCTCCCTCTCAATCCCCCTCGCCTCCCACGGTAATCTCCTGAAAGTCTGTCTGTGAACATGGTAGTAAAACAGTTGGCATTCTGGATGAGAAATATAATTGATGTTGCCTATTTTCAAGAATAAACAGGCTGCTCTGATATATGTGTGTTTGTGGTCTAACACACAAGTATGTTGATTAGTGTGCTGTGAGAGGCACACACTTAAACAGCCATTAAAACACCCCTGCACTGCAGGTCAAAGATAAAGGAAAAGCCTGTAGCTAGTGCTGCTAGCTGCTGAAAGGGAATCAGGACAATGATGTTTCAATCACCTGCAAAGTTAAGAATCTTGAAATCGACTGTCGAGTTTACCAAAGTTAACACTTCAGGTTTTTTAAGGAATGCTTGCTTAAATTTACTCCTCATAAAGCATAAGTTCATTTGGGTCTGGGAGAGAGGGAAGGGATTCTTTTTAAATTAAACTTAGTTCAATCATCTGAGGGGAGTGGTGAGTAATCAAGAGGAGCCCATTGATCCCTCCTCAGCTGGCAGCTTGGTTTTGAGGTATCGCATCTGAAACTGTAATAGATTGGGGTGCCTTGCCTGGGGACTGGTCACAACAGAATTGGATCTGGCTTCCATTAAGCCAATGAGGGAAGCAATCTTCATAATGAATGTGCCCTGACACTTCCTCCTCTCTTGAAAGAGGCAAGGTGAAGACTTATTGGGGTATCAGTGTAAGTAAATGGTCATACACTGTAACTCTATACCATTTGATTATTCGGACAAGATGTTGTTAGAATAATACAGAGGGTCAGTTTTTAACCAGCTGACTGACTCATATCCTTTCTTTTAAAATTGGAAATCTTGAGATGTCCAGCCTCCTCTGTGATGACACTTCCTCTGCCAATGACAAGATAATGATTAAGGAAAAGAAAGAAGACAAAAGGAAAGAGAAGGGAGGTTGCAGCGCCTGGATCGGAAGGGCTCAGGTGCTCGACTGCTACCTACCATTTTGGTACTGCCATCTAATATTCTAATCTGCTGAACTTGGCAGACAAACTGAAACTGAGCCTAGTCGTGGTTCCACATTCGGAGAGGGTGGCACATCAGACACCACCTATCTCCTGAGTGTCTCTGCTTGGCAGCGGCAGCAGATCCCTTACTCGCTATCTTGGCAAGGGGTGTGGATGTGTACAGGAGCATACGTGTAATGTGTGACCAGGGTAGATGGTGAACGGTTGGGAGTTGTAATGATGCAAGCTCTCAGGCTGTGCTGCTGTGTGGTTTGTTTAATTATTCTGTCCTCTTCCCACAGGTCAGGGTGGCCATGCGTACCTTAAGGAGTGGTTGTGGTGGGCCGGGCTTCTCACAAGTGAGTTTTGCACACGGTTCCGGGCAAGATATTTTTCAGACACATTTGGTGACATATTTTCCCCTGCTGGGGCATGCTGAGGAGGGTCACAAACTCAGAGGGTTAGGAGTGCTGGATATGGTTCACCTTAAACTGGAATGCTCACATATAGAAGGAACAACAGAACACAACCCAATTCTCTGTCTTCTTTACTCCAACTCACCTTTGCATTCTCAGCTCCTTCACTGCCTCCTCAATGTCTGCCTGCTTGTCTTTCTCCTTCAGTGTCTTCCTGGTCCCACCCACCTCCCTTAGTGTCTCCCTGTTGGTCTTCTACCCTCTCCCTTCCCCTGTTACAAGGTTTATAAAATCATATTTTGAGACTGTCCTTAACCTGGTAAAAAATGAAGTTCAAAAGTCTAATAACAGGCCTGGACGATGTAATTGTTAAAAATTAAAAGACGGCCCTGGTCATTTTGCTGAAAAGTAATTTAAGATGATCACACTTGGGAGATATTTGCAGCAGCACCTGTTGCAAAAGGTGTTGAAGATGCCAGATTGTAAAGTTATGCTTGAAATATGAAAATAAATGGAAAATTTAAAGAGATTTTGGGGTCTCGAGAATAACTAATAACCATTTTTCCCTGAATACAAAGTCTGTGTGATTCACATTGCTGTGGCAGGTGGCTTTGAGAGGATTAGGGTTTTTACGAAATCCCTGAAAACCCATAGGCACCGGCAGCAGCTAGGGGCTAAAATTTTGTATGGTTCACCATGCAGGAATGCAGGGAGAAATTCACGCATGGATGAATTTGTGAAGATTTGGAATTGAGGCTGAAAGATGTGCCTGGCTTGAGAGAGAGTGGAAATCGCCGGGTAAACCCGCACCATGAAAGATCTGTGGTTAAAAATGTCTAGGTGCAAATGCACTTGAATCCAAGAATATCGAATAACTACTTATGGTTCCATGCAAAGTATATCCATGAAGTGGATTTTTGGTTGTGTTAAACATTGGTGGTTTTTTAAGTTTAATTGTTAAAGTCTTAAAACATGACATTTTGTCATGTAATTCTTTTAGCTATCAATCCAAAGTTCGCATTGTCCTCTGCAGAGATTGTAATACCACTTTGTATCTCCCGGCTTTTCCCCCCACCTCTGTTGTGTCTTATAGCTTTCCCTCCTCATCCTAGAGTGTCTCCCTACATATCCTGTGTATAATTTAGTGGAGCTTGTGGCTGCAGTCAGTGATATTTCCAGGCCATGTCACACCTTGTGAATCATGCTTTACCTAGTATGGGTCACTATTGCTGGTGCTCTGGGTCTCTGGTTCATTCTCTAACTTCTGTCTGTTCTGTTTTGCAGTGGGTTTAGGAGAAGCTGCCAATTTTGCTGCCTATGCCTTTGCTCCAGCAACTCTGGTCACTCCGCTAGGAGCCCTCAGTGTCCTTGTGAGGTGAGCGACCATCTGACATCACTCAGTTCCAGCTCCAGTATATCTCTACCGTTGCTTCCTGTCTCCCTGCCAGTCCCTCAAACATATAGTTAGTTGTGGTGCTCAGATCAATTAATGCAAATACTCTTAAGATGAGTACAGCACAGTAGAGTAAAGCTACCTATTCTTTTAAACTGAATGTAGATCCAGGACAATAGAGAAATTAAAGGCCAGTGAGCCTTATGTCAGTGGTAGGGAAATTATTAGAGAAGGTTCTTAGGCTTAAGATTTACCCCCATTTGGGAAAATAAGCACTAATTAGTGATAGGCGGCATGGCTTTGTCCAGGGAAGATCATGTCACACAAACTTGATTTTGTTTGAGGAAGTGACAAAAGATGATTGACAGACCAGTACATGTTTGCCTATATGGACTTTAGCATGATCATTGACAAAGGCCCTCATGACAGACTGATACAAAACGTGAAGTCACATGCGATCTATGGTGAGCAAGAAAGATGGATGCAGAACTGGCTTAGTCATAGAAGACAGCGATGGCAGGGTGTTTTCAGATTGGAAATCTATGACCAGTGGTACTCTGCAGGGGTCAGTGCTAGGACCCCTTTTGTTTGTTACATAATGATTTGAAGGAGCATGTAAGTGGCCTAATTAGTAAGTTTGCGGCAACACAAACACTGGGAAACTGAGGATAGTGAACACGATTGCCACAGGATATAGATAGGCTAGAGACCTGGGCAGATAAATGGCAAATGGAGTTTAATCCGGACAAACACAAGGTGTTGCATTTTAGATCTTAGAATCCCTACAGTGTGGTAACAGGCACTTCGGCCCAACAAGCCTACACCGACCCTTGGAGCATCCCACCCAGACCCATCCCCCAATAAGCCACCTAATTTACACATCCCTGAATACTACAGGCAATTTTGCATTGGCCAATCCACCTAGCCTGCACATCTTTGGACTGTGGGAGGAAACCGGAGCACCTGGAGGAAACCCACACAGACACGGGGAGAACGTGCAAACTCCACACAGCTGCACAGGGTGGAATTGAATCTGGGTCCCTGGCACTGTGAGGCAGCAGTGCTAATCACTGAGCCACCGTGCCACAATTTTAGGAGATATAATGCAGAAAGGAAGCATACATTAAATAGCACAACCCTTAACAGCGTCAAGAGACAAGAATCTAGGCATACAGGTCCACAGTTCCCCGAAAGTGGCAACAGAACTGGATAAGATGGTCAAGGCATATTGCATGCTTGCCTTCATCTGTCATGGCACAGAGCATGAAAATTGGCAAGTCACGTTACAGGAGTATTGAACTTTAGATAGGCCACATCTGGAATATTGTATACAGTTAGTGTCACCAGAAGGATGTGGATGCTTTGGAGACAGTTTAGAAATGGTTTACCAAGACATTCCCTCAAAAGTCCCTCAAAACTGTCTGTATCAAGCACTCAAGACAGGAACAGCATGGGGTTTGATGCAGAGGAAAGCCGTTTCTACTCTTTTTAAACCAAAAATAAAGCTTCCTTGACCCTTTTAAACTGAAAGCAAAATTCCCTCAACGCTGACCCATCAAAAAATCCCGAGATAGAGACAGCACAGGGTTAAATACAGAGCAAAGCTACCTCTATTCTTTTAACATGAAAGTAAAACTGCCGTTATTCTTTCAAATTACCAGTGCAGTCTCAGGAGAGGTACAGGACAGAGTTAGATACAAATTACATCTCCCTCTACTCTTTTAATCTGAAAGTAAACAGAAATTAAACTTCTCTTGACACCATTCCCATCAAACACTCCTGGGACAGCATGGGATTAGATACAGAGTAGAGCTACCTCTTTTCTTTTAAACTGGAAGTATAGCACTGTTGACATCAAGCACTCCCAGGACAGGCACAGTATAGGGTTAACTACAGAATAAAGCTTCCTCTAAACAGTTGTTCACATAGCTTAAAGAGCAATTACTATCTCTGCCGTACACACAAATGCAATCCATTCAGTAGCTGCAACTGAGGAAACTGTAGTTTGATTTTAGATCTCAGGCATAGTGGTTGTTTCTGCCTCTCACTATTTTGTGTATACAATTTAAGATAATTGGATGTAGTCGCTTGAATTTGTTTCAGGCTTTTATGCTGTAACCCCAAGATCAGGTCAATTCCTATTCACCTGTCCTTTTTATGTTTTAAATGATCAATGTACCTTGACTGAAAGATTGAGCTGTAAGCTGGAATTCCTTCTCTAACAGCATTGGGGTTCTGCCTGCAGCACCTGAATTTTGGTGGTTCAAGAACACAGCTCACCATTACCTTCTCAAGGGCAACTAGGGATAGGCAATAAATGGTGGCCAACAAGCAACACTGACCTCCCACAAGTGAAAAAAAGAGCACAGGACATAGCAGAAGTCACTGCACTGTCATGGATGGTGTCAAGTCCAAATTTAAAACTTTATTGTTTGTTGGAAACATGTGAAAACTGAAAGAGATACAGAGTTTCAGGGAAAGTGGGTCTCTGATTTCTACACAATGTGCAGGGGATGAGATTAGTTGGATGTTTTGATGTTTGCAAGCTATTTTCAATGTTGACTGTTTCCTGCAGGGACCTTTCATGTGCTAATCAAAAATCCTTGCTTTCTTCCTTCTCTGCAGTGCTATTTTATCCTCTTATTTTTTAAACGAGCGCCTTAACCTTCATGGGAAGATGGGCTGCATCCTGAGTATTTTGGGATCGACAGTGATGGTAATCCATGCTCCCCAAGAGGAGGAGGTTGGCACCTTGACTGAAATGGTGGAAAAGCTCAAAGATCCAGGTAGGACAAAATATTGCAAAGTAACACCTGCTAGACTTTCTTTAAACAATCGTCAGTCTGCAAACAATGTAGAGCTTAGTTCCTCACTGTAAAGTTGTTTTAATTATACAAAATCATGCCAATTGGCCATATGGCCGTATATTCCTCCAAGTAGAACAAATTATATATGAACAATGAGCAGGACCAGACTATTCAGCCTCTCGAGCCTGCTCTACCATTCAATAAAGTTATATCTGATCTTAATATAACCTCAAATCCACATTCGTTCCAACCCCCAGTAGAATCCAACACCACTGGTTAACAAGAACTTACCTACCTATGCTTTAAAAATGTTCAAGGACTCTGTTTCCACTACTTTTTCTGAGAGAGTTCCAAAGACCTATGACCCTTAGAGAAAAGAAATTCGCCTAATCTGTTTTAAATTTAAAGCCCCTTAATTTGTGAACCCTGGTTCTGGATTCTCCAATAAGAGGAAACGTCCTTTCCAAATTAACCTGAGCATAATTCCTCAATCTTGTGTTTCAATAAAGTCAACTCTTACTCTTCTAAATGCCAGCGGACATAAGCATAACCTGTCCAACCTCTCATAAGAGGACCCTGTCATTCCAAATATTAATCTGGTAAACCTTCTCTGAACTGCTTCTAGTGCATTCATACCCTTCCTTAAATAACGTGACCAGTATGTACACAGTACTGTTATTCCCACAGAGGCAGAAGCACATGGTAATGTCACAGGACCTTTGATCCAGAATCCCAGACTCATGTTCTAGCACTACAGAAAATTTGAATTCAACAAAACATCTGGAATAACAAAAGCTGGTCTAGTGGCAACATATAACCATTGTCAATTGTCATAAAAAGCCATATGGTTTATTAATGTCATTTTAGAGAAGGAAATCTGTGTCCTTACCTGGACTGGTGTATGTGTTACTCCAGATCCACAGCAATATGATTGGTTGACACTTTCCTGACCTCTGGGTAATTAGAAGTGGGCAATAAATGCTGGCCTGGCCATTGAGGCCTATATCCATATTAATCCCTTTTGATAGTTACCATTCAACCTGCTTCACATCCCTGATAGCCTAATTAAAACAAATACATTTCTCATCCTTCTATCTGCCTGTCTGTTCTATTTCTTAATCCTATTCACAGTGTGCTGATGTAGTTCAGTCACACGAGAGCCATCACTTAAATACTTAGTACCATGTAAACCCGACCTGTGTCTGGCTTGCAGGTTTTATTGTGTTTGCAGTATGTGTTGTCACCAGCTGCCTGACCCTCATCACTGCAGTGGCCCCCCGCTATGGGCAGAAGAATGTCCTGGTCTACATCCTGATCTGTTCGATCATCGGCTCCCTCTCCGTCTCGTGCGTCAAAGGCCTGGGGATCGCCATCAAGGAACTGTTTGTGGGTCGTCCTGTGCTGGTGCAGCCAGTCACCTGGATCCTGTTGGGCTGCCTGGTAGTCTGTGTGAGCATACAGATTAACTACCTAAACAAAGCCCTGGACATTTTTAACACCTCCATTGTTACACCCATCTACTATGTCCTGTTCACCACTGCTGTCATGACCTGTTCAGCCATCCTGTTCAAGGAGTGGTATCACATGACCATAGACAACATTGTGGGCACTATCAGTGGGTTTGTCATCATTGTCCTTGGGATCTTCTTGCTCCATGCCTTCAAAAACATCAGCTTCACCCTCGGTACCTTACCCCCATTCGTCAGGAAGAGTGAACCTGGCACCATGTGGACCAACATCAGGGAGCAACAGCAGTATCCAGGTCTGCCTGAGCATGAAACTGAAATCCTCATCTGCCCAAGTGAAGTTGGGGTCATGCATGATTTCACCTGAGACCTTGTCTCAAATGAAACAGGGCTGAATGGACTGTCAGTGGATACGATAGGCTATGGAGTGAGTTCAGAACATGCAAGATTCCTCTGCAGAAATCCAATTCCCCACTACTCACAGTTAAAGCCTGTGCAACTTCCCCTTTCTTCCAGCCAGCGTGTGCCGTTAACATGATTCGCTTCCCTTAATTTGGGCATAAACCCGTTGTAGCTTGAGTCGATGCTGTATGAACTAGAGTTTGACCAACACCACTTCATGCAATTGCATCACCGTGCTTTACTAATGACAGACCTTGAAGGAATGTGTTGTTTCCTGGTACTAATAAGCTGGGAGATGTAAATATGGCGTTTCAAATACACAAAAAGGTGGCGTAGTGGAATCTCAGCTAAGCTTGTGCAAGACCCACTATCAAAGTTCTGCAGGCTCTGCCCTACACAGTTGCATGACTCGTACACCTCACCTCTGAAATACTGTATCACAGATACAAATTTAACAGGGCAAGAAACATTTTATTACTGTGTATTGTAACAAAAGTACTGCATCAGTCAGCAGGGCACAAATGTCAGTCTGTTGTCTTTCACCAGCCAAAGACACTATGTTTACAATATATTCCACTAAATCGGAAAGCATGAGCAAACAGGACAGTTTGAGAAATGTCACTGCTGTCATGACTTTTTTTGCTACCAGTACATTGACAGTTTATATTATTTCCATCACAAACACGAGCCATCCCTAATCAGCAGCCATGGTGGTATATTCCACTAAAAGATTGTCTATCCCAACACAAACCAAACTCAGTACAGGGATTTCAGCCCAAAGCTTAAATGGAGCAATGTGCTCTCCTCTGTAAGAAGCTATTACAGAAGATCTGCTACTGCGCAGTAGCAGGCCTGGAAGAGTTTGTTGGAACAATGCAGAGGGAGCTTTACATTGTCCCCATCAGCATTCCTTGACAGGGCCAGCATGGGGTTAGATACAGAATAAAGCACCTCTATGCTGTCATTATCAAACAATCTTAGGACCTGTACAGCAAGGAGTTAGATACAAGTGTAGGAAGAGCTATACTTTCTATTTAACCCCACTCTGTACCTATATGAGAGTGTTTGATGGGTCACTAAAAAGGGAGGCTTACTCTAACTAATCTGTACTGTACCTGCTCTGGGAGTGTCTGATTCTGATATTGTATTATACTCATAGAATGTGTTGTACGCTCATTGCTGACGTCTGCCTGACTGCAATGAATAGTTTTGAGATATCAGTCACAGGTTGTGTGTCCCTGGAGCTGAGGGCTATGGGAGTGATATGACATAAGCAGCTATGAAACGGAGGGTGATGATGCTATGCAAGTGGATCTCGCTCATGAGTTATTCCAACAGTTTGATAAAACTGAGAATAACTCTGAATAACTCACTAAGTACAAATTCCATTGGAAACATCAAAAGATGCTTTTACCCTCTAATTACGTTATCACTAAATGAAGGCATTGCATGAATCTGATTACAAGCTCAAATTAGCTCCCATAGTCTTGTCACTTCGTTGAAAATAGAATAAACAGCTCACCTGTGGCTAGGTTCTGGGGTTGCTCCTGATCGTTTCAGATTCCCAGCAATTGTATTTAACTTGCTCTGGCTGTGACAAGTCTGCACTTACCTGCTTTAATTTCAGTTCCAATAATGCCTGCTAAATTTTAATGAAAATTGTTTGGGCAGCAGTTTCTCAACTCAATTTAATGGGACTCTGTTGTTATTTCAGTAGAACACTGCCTGAGGGTGTCTCTAAAATGTTCAGTTTGTTCAGCTTGAGAGCAGAACATTTCAATTGTTATATTCAGACCATCTGGTTATGGAATGAGGAGCATAGAAAGAGACCCTTACCCTATCACAAGTAAATCAGACACAGAACATTGAACCCACGTCCAATTCTGTCATTGTGGGAAAACTACAGACATGGATTCCCCATCCCATTCTCTGACTGAAAATCACAGGTTGTCACCATGTGAAAATCACAACATATATCCTCTCTCCTATTCATCCATTGTGAAAATCACAGACATGGATTCCCCAAACTAGTCTCACTTTGAAAGTCACAGACACGTGCCCTCATTTTGTTCTGTCACCATGTGAAAATCAGATAAGAATCCCCCATCCTGTTCTCTCACTATGAAAATCATTAATCCCACTCCAAACAGACAATTTATCTTGCATATCAAGACTCAATTTTTCATGCTGAAGACAGCACTTAGATCATCCCCACTGTGTTTTACTGTATTGAGTGCATATTTATGTTAAAAACACCACCGTGCTTTATTTCTGGATGATAAGACGATCATACAGGAGACTCAGTATCAAGGACATAGTTGCCTGAGTTAAGGTCCTTCCGAGAGCAGTCAGGGGCTAGCAGGTCCCATGGAGCTGTGCCCCAGCAATGCTGCCTGCCAATTCCGCACTGTGCCTGACACACACCGTGCTGTATGTTATGGCAAGTCCTTTGTGCTGCTGTTCCATAATACACGCCTGCTCACTCAGTCACTCAGGCTCTCTGGTGACATCCTGCTTTTTTGTGTCTGTTCCAGTCGATTGAGGATGAACTGGCTGGTGTCGATAAAGCGTTCCACACAGTTCACAAAGCAGGTTTCAGTTCTGCTGTCGAGCCGTGGACCTGGTTTATCCATACACTTATCCTGCCAAGGAAGAGGACAATCATCAACGGGACAAGAATGATGTGTTGGGACCTGATCAAATTTGTCATGTCAAAGGAATTGGAGGGAAATGGAAAACATTTCTGGCCAGTGGTGATTACTTTCAAATAGAGACAGAATAAACTTGCTCATTACAGTTTCATTAAATATCTATAAAGGAGGCATTGCGGAATCTTTCAAGGTCAAATCATTCAATTTTTACACAACAAAGTAATTGGAAGCAGTCAAGAGAAAGTAACAAACATGAAGTGGTACAGAGCATCTGATCCCTTGAAAGTGCTTCACATTTCAGTAAGAGCAGAGCTGACCTTCTACCTCAACCCCACTTTCCTGCCATATCCCATAATCTTTAACACCCAAAGCACAAGAAGAAACATGAACAATCAGTGAAGAAACTAGGAGGTCTGGTATCATCTGTGGACAGAAAGCAGAGTTAATGTTTTGAGTCTGGTGACTCTTCTTCAAGATCGATTTTTTTTGGTTTTGTTTCAGATCTTCAGCGTCCACAATTGTTTTACTTAACATAAGAAAACATTAACTTTTCACATATTTGTACTTTGTTTTTTATAAATCATAAGAAGAATTGACTTTAAGAGGGCATGGTTAGGTAAGAGAATGGGCAGGCTCGTGACAAATGTAATTTAATGCAGTGTGTGAAATGAGGCATGTTATGAAAGAAGAGATAAGGGAGGGTAACAGAGGGACTTGAGGTAGACAAACAGGAGGCTGGAAGAACACAGCGGGCCAGGCACCATCTGGAGGAAATGAGCAGTCAATGTTTCGGGTATTACCCTTCTTCAGGACTGGATGTGGGGGTAGGGGGAGGGGTGGAGGCGAAATGATGGTAGGTATGACCTGGTTGATCAATGGAAGGGATGAATCCAGTTAGTGACTGAAAAGGAGGAAGTGGGGCTGGAAGGGGAGGCGGGGAATGGGTGGCAAGCTTATTTGAAATTGGAGAACTCAATGTTGAGTCGTCCGCGATGTTGGGTGCCCAGGTGGAAGATAAGGTGTTATTCTTCAAATTTGTGTTCTGAATCACTGCAACACTGGAGGATGCCAAGGACGGACATGTCAGAGGAGGAGTGGGGCAGGGCGCTGAAATAGGCGGTGACCAGGTGGTTAGATTGGCCGTAACCAGCCAGGCAGAGATGCTCGTCGAAATGGTCACCTAGTTATGTTTGGTCTCGCCAACGTAGAGAAGACCACATCGGAAGCAACCTAATAGACTAGGTTGGAGGAGATCCAGGTGAAGCCCTGTCTCATTTGGAAGGGTTGTTTAGGGCCCTGAATGGAGGCGAGGGAGGTGTGTGTGGGCAGGTGTTGCATCTTTTACAGTTACAGGGGAAGGTACCGGGTGGGTTGGAGTGGTTGGTGGGGAGTGTGGCGCGAACTAAGGAGTGGCAAAGAGACCTAAGAGTCTACGTGCAAAATACGTTGAGAGTCTGGTTAATATTGCATACTGGATCTCATCTTAAATAGAGATGTTGAGTACAAAACCAGGGAATTTATGCAGAACCTTCATTATGCTCTGGTTAATTCACGAGAGTATTGTGTCCATATACGGTCACGACACAAAGATGGATGTGAATATCCTCAAATGAGTGCAGAGGAGAGTTGCTAGTTTGGCTGAACAGGTGGGTGTGAGGGAGCGGTGGTGTATTTTAGTTACAGGATCAGTTTGGAGAAACTGGGTTAATTTCTTTGGAGCAGAAAAGTGAGGGATGATTCATGCTGGGTTTTTAAGCTTTACATAGATCATCAGGAACATTTCAACTTTTAGATTCTTTATCTCTTACCATAAAAGTATTGGATTCTTTATTTCCAATTCTACTTTCCACTGTCAGTTTGAACATCCCCTATGAATACTGTGAATGATGTCCCTCTCCCAGAAAGAGGCACCCAGCCCTACTCTGTGAATACTGACCTAAACCCAGGGGAGCCTCCCTGTGAATACTGACCCACTCCCAGACAGCCTTTGCAAATCAAGAGCCTCTCTGAGATCCCCAATAATTCTGTAACAATCCCAAGGCTTCCTTGTAAAGCACAGCCGTTCCTGGGATCCTGTGGAAATATGGAACCCAGTCCTCCGGGAGCACATTTAACTCCCAACTCCTAGGGAGTTCTTTTGAAAATTGACACATTCCCACGCAGTGTCCTGTAAGGACAAATATACTCTGGTGGAACACCTTTTTAAACATTAATATTGCTCACAGCCAAAGAGTTCCTCCATCTATTGACACTTCAAATTCCTCACTGCTGGACAGTTCCCTGACCTAACCCGACCCGACCCTCCTGTGCTGTTTTTGAGAGAAACTCACTTCAATTCTGGAATTTGATCTTCTGTTAAATATTAACCTTCACAGCTAGCAGAGCATAAAACAAACACACAACTCATTGCTTCCACTGAACACAAAATTCTTCCAGACAATGCTGGTAGCTGGCATTTGCTGATTCACACCGCCCAATCTTCTGGTGCACTGCTGTCACTTACATTCTGGAACAGGCTATTTGGACTCCTGCAGGAATGCGGTTAAGAGTTGACTGGGGTCCAGGGCAAGGTTGGCCCAACACACCCTTGCCAGGCCACATCCACACACAAGTTCAATTCTTTCAGTTCAGGATATGGGAACATTTTCAGCAATCAGGCTCAGTGTTCCATGAGGCCATGTTTCTCACCTTGTATATGTATATACCCCATATACACGCCAAAGACCCCCCCCAAACCAATCCTATCTCCCCTGGAATCCAAATCCAAGTTTCAGCAGAGCCCAGATAGCAGAAAACTGCTAGTCACGATTGTTACAGTGCAGAGGTGGTAATTTGGTCCATCATGCCTGCACCAGCTCTTCAAACAAGCATTGTTACCGAGTGCCAATCTTTTTTTTCCCCTATACCCTTGCACATTATTTTTAATCCACATCATTATCCAATGCCCTCTTGAATGCCTCAATTGAAAACTGCCTCCACTACACTTTCAGGCAGTGCATTCCATACTCTTAACTACATGCTGTGTGAAAAAGCAGTTTCTCACATCACAATTTGCTTCTTTTGCAAAACATTTTATATCTATGCCTTCTAGTTCTGACCACCCTGGCTAATATGGCAACCTGATGACGGCTTACTTCTCCCCCAAACCCTCCCTCTACTAGTTCTTATTCCTTTTACAAGCAGGAACAGATTTTCCCCACCTACTATATCTAGACCACTGATTTTAATAACCTCTGTCAAATTTTCTTAGTCTCCTCCTCTCCAAGGAAAACAGACCCAACTTCTTCAATCTATCCTCAGAAGCAAAGTTTCTTATTTCTGGAACCATTCTTGTAAATCATTTCTGCACTCACTTCTATACATTCATTCTGAACGTGGCGCCCAAAACTGTGCACAATATTCAAGGTGAGGTCTAACAAGTGTCTTATGGAATCATTCTGGCACTAAGGGAGGTTGGTGATTGGATTCAGTATGGCAATTTGCATTGTGCAGAATGATCATTGGAAAAGGAGGAAAAAAAACAAACAAACAGAAGAAATTGAAATAAAGCAACGGTCTGCAATGAAGAATCTTTCCTCCAAACTAAAATATCTTGAATAACAAGGTGGACCCATGGAGTATCTCAATCTTCAAATATAAGTGAGGCAACTCCATCCAGTTTACCTTTTCTTAGGCTGTGGCTCCAATCTGAGTATAAAATCATGGTGATTGACTCATTCCTGTCTCCACTCCCTTCCCAAGAGCCCATGACAGGTATTGATTAGCGCAAAACCTTACTGCTGTCACCAACCCTGTCCCAGCTTGCTTCTCTTTCATCCTGCCGTCCTAGTTTAAATGGTTCCGTTCTGAAGAAATCATAACAGACTGGAAATGTTAACTCTTTTAACACAGCACCAGGGAGCTGGGTTTAATTCTGCCCTTGGGTGACTGCCTGTACGAAGTTTCCCTCTCAGTCCATAAGATGTTAGGTGGACTGGCCGTTCTAAAATTGCACATTGTGTCCGGAGATGTGAAGGCTAGCCATGGGAAATGCAGGGTTTCCGGGGACAGGGCAGGGGGTTGGGTCTGGGTGGGATGCTCTTCGGAGGGGTCGGTGTGACCCAATCGGCCAAATGACCTTCTTCCACACTGTAGGGATTCTATGATTCTGTAGTATTTTGCTTTTATTCTGGCTTAAATTTCATTGGTTTGAAGGTTTTCTTATACTCCCAGTATCTTGGATAGCTGCTCAAAGGTCACACATTCAAGTCCTGTCCAAAGCAAAGACACAAGTACTCATGAGAGTAACAGCAGTGCTGAAGACCATGTATTGTACAGCTGATATAAGTGAATTGAATGTACAGGGTCATAGGAATTCACTAAGAGTGATAAGGGCCACAAGGTCACACTTGTTCAGTGAAATTCTAGAGGTTAAATCAAAGAGGAAGCTGAAAAAATTGGAGAAGAGGTGAACAGCAGATATCCCTAATGTGACGGCATGAGCCTGTTTCTACCTGAGGCAGTGTTCAAGGAGGCTGAATGGAGATCATGATAGAACATCGTGGGCCAGACAGCAGCTTCTCAATGTTACAAACTGCAGGGACTGAATTGTGACACATCCCACAAGATACATCGCAGAAACAGGGTGAGAAGTAAAAATGAGCGTCAAGCCACAGAAAGAGATACCTGGACAGGTCACCCAAATATGTGCCAGCAGCTATTTTCTCAATGAGCTGAGGTTTGTGAAAGGCTATGCTCTGGGTCGGATCATTAGTTAAGTACTGGTTACGTTAACTTATCAGCGGTTAACCTGCCGGGTTGAGTGAGACCATGTTCTGGATCAGATCACTAGTTAAGTACTAGTTAGTGCTAACTATGTTGAGACTTACCCAGCAGAGCTCCGTGAGGCCGTGAACCAGTTGCTGGAATTTCTGTTTCTGACTCTCCACCTCGATGAACTGCTGTAAGTGCGGGTCAGCGGCGAGGGCCTGAGCCTGGGACTCCATTCCCGCCGCAGCCGGGCCTGCTTGTGGTGTGGTCTGTCCTGGCTAGGCTGGGCCTGGTCTTGATCGTCCCTTCTCCTCGTTCCCGCTCCCGCTCCGACCTTCATCCAACCCCGGGCAGGATCCCGGAACCGGAAACGCCCTCCCCGCCCTCTCACCCCAACATGGCCGCCGCCAGCAGACACGTGCTGCATCCGGGTTCACCTCCTCACTCCCCCAGTACCGGACAACCTATCCAACATCAACAAAAACAAGTTGCTGGAAAACCTCAGCAGGTCCTGTAGCATCAGTGAGCAAAAATCACAGTTAACGTTTTGGGTCCGGTGACACTTCCTCAGTTCTGAAGCTTCCCCCCCTCCGAACTTTAATAGAATCCCTACAGTGTGGAAACAGGCCCTTCGGCCCAACAAGTCCACACTGACCCTCAGAACATCCCACCCAGGCACATTCCCCAAACCCACCTAATCTACACATCCCTGAACACTACGGGCAATTTAGCATAGCCAATCCACCCAGCCTGCACATCTTTGGACTGTGGGAGGAAACCAGAGCACCCAGAGGAAACCCACGAGAATGTACAAACTCCACACAAACAATTGTCTGAGAGGGGGTACTGAACCCAGGCCCCTGGCGCTGTGAGGCAGCAGTGCTAACCGCTGAGCCACCGCGATAACAAGGTGTAGAGCTGGATGAACACAGCAGGCCAAGCAGCATAGCCAAGCCACTGTGTCACCTTCTGTTTTTGTTCCTGATTTACAGCATCCGCAGTTCTTTCGGTTTTTATACCCCAACATCACTGGCTCCTGTGGTGCAAGCCTCCCCACTCGGGGCCAAAGGTGAGTTATTAATGACAGGAGACATACCAGCTCGTGAGGGCAAAGATAAGGGCACTTTGGTATGTGGTGGGGCGGTCGTGGAGTGACCAACCATCCGATATCATCTGGGGCCACGCACATCCGAGGTCACTGTGTCTCTGGCTGTTGCACACTCACATGCCCAGTCCCCTGGATGCATGTGGCTGTGGGTGTGGTTGGGACGGAGTCAGGACCTACCTCTTTGCCCTACTTGTGGGGAGTCACAGTAACGTGGTCTCTGGGCAGAGTAGTCAAGGCGAAGAAGTGCATACTCGACCAAAAGACTACACCCCCTCCCCCACCCACACACACACACAAAACAACATACAGACTGATCCAGAACTGCAAACAATGTACAGTTTCTTGAACACTGCTGCACCATGAGGAAGGACACTCCAGATCTTTACAATGTTTTCAGAATTTCCCATTTTGAACAGTATGCAATCAGTTCTTAACTTCCCCACTCACTCTTGACCATGTGCAGAACTGGGGGACTCCTGGTGGTCCTGGCTCCTCCTGGAATTCCAGGTTTCCTTGATTTCCAAGCTTGGCCTGGTTGCAGCTCATATTCTGGAATCCCACATTTCACACAGATTTTTGGATGCCCATGCCCTGATCCTCTCATCAGTTGATTCCCTCAGGATTACTGACAGGGCTGCCTCCCTGAACTCTGGATCAAAGCCCTTTAAACCTTTAGTTTCTGTATTTTCCTTAGTTACTGGCATGCTTCAACTCGACTGGTTGTTTACATACAAAGAACACACTGCTCACAGTTTTAAATAAGAGAATCAAAGATTTATTTCATCTGTGCCTATGTGCATTGGTGTGCATTTGTGTATATGTGTCTGTATACGTGTGGCTATATATATGTGTGTCTTTATGTTTAGCTGTATATGCATGGAGAAGAGCCCAGTTTGAAAAGCTTTTAGACATTTATTTTTAAATCACTGTGCGGGAAGGTTGCAAAAGTGAAACACATTGAATTGGCAAAGAGGGATTGTGAAGTTTAATAGCTCTTAAAGTTTAATAGGGTAAGACAATGAAGAATTCCTTCATGTCTGACTGTCATCTTCCACCAGCTCCTGGATACTGCTCAGCAGCATGTTGAAAGAGGGGCGATTATCTGCTTTCTGCAACAGATGGCAAGAGAAGACATGAGTCAGAAACTGCATAAAATCACCTCAAGAAAGAACCCAGTGTTATTTCAGAACATAATGGTCTTAATGTTAAATTAATGTTAAACAAGCAGCTATCACACACCATGCCTGAAAGATTCAACTGAGACCCAGCAACAAATAATCAACATTAATTGGTGCTTTGTTTTTGATACACACATTCTAGAAAAATACTCCTTTCCAGTGCCAATGAATTCTGCTTGGTTTCTGCCAGGCTATCTGATCCCGGGTTACATCACACCCCGCCAATGTGGACCCCATTAAAACTGCTGTTTTGTTCTAGTTAATCCCCAGCTTCATGGTCATCTTCAGTCCAACGAAAATTGACAAGAATACTGATGGGGGAGAAATGAGTTAAACAATTCACAACTAGATCCTGCCCTCATCTGCCACTGGACAACCTGCAGCTACACTTCACCACAAACCATTTCCTTTAACCTCTCTCCCCTACCTTCTCCACCTTCACCTTCAGCAACAAGTTTAAGGAGCTCATCAATCTGTTGTCATGGAGACCGAGATGATTTGATTGACAGTGAGGATGAAAGTTAAGGATGGCAAGATCCAGGAACCTTGGATGACAAGAAAGATATTGAAATGTTATTTAAAAAGAGAAAGGAAGTGTATGTAAGGTTTAGGAAACTGAAATCAGACAAAGCCCTAGAACAGTATGAAGGAAGGAGAAAATAATTTAAACAAGAAATTAGAAGGGGCTTTTGACATATAGGATTAAGGAGAATCCCAAGGCATTTTATACATATATTAGGAGCAAGAAGATAGCTAGGGAAAGGGCAGGTCCACTCAAGGACAAAAGAGGGAGTTTATGCATGGAGCTGGAAGAAGTGGGTGAGGTCCTTCATGAGTATTTTGCATTGTTTTTCACCAAGCAGAAGGACATGGATGATGGAAAGTGTAGAAAGGGTTATGTTGATCCACTGGGGCATGTCGATATTGAGAAGGAAGTGGTGTTGGGCGTTTTCAAAAACATTTAGATAAGTCCCAGGACCTGATGGATTCTATCCCAGGATACTGCAGGAGGCAAGGTCACTGGGACCTTGACAGAGACCTTTGCATCCACTTTGGCCACAGGCAAAATCCCAGTGGCCTGGAGAATAGCCAATGTTGTTCCTTTGTTCAAGGAGGGCAATAGGGATAATCCAGGAAATTATAGGCTAGTGAGCCTTACATCAGTGGAAGAGAAATTATTGAAGAAGATTCTTAAGGACAGTATTTACTCACATTTGGAAAAGAATGGATTTATTAGGGATAGTCAGCATGGTGTTATACTTATGGTGGAGGTTGTCTTAACAAATATGATTGAATTTTTTGAGGAAGTGACTTAGATGATTGATAGGAGGAGGGCAGTGGATGTTGTCCACATGGACTTTACTAAAGCATTTGACAAGGTATAGTAGGCTGGTCCAGAGATTAAGTCACATGGCATCCATGGTGAGTTAACAAGTTGGATACAAAATTGGCTTGTTCATAGTAGACAGAGGGTAGTTGTAGAGGCGTGCTGATTTGACTGGAGGTCTGTGATCGGTGGTGTTCCACAAGGATTAGTTTGGCACCTATGTTGTCTGTAATATATATAAATGATTTGGATGAAAATGTAGGTGGTCTGATTAGTAAGTTTGCAGATGACATGAAGATTGGTGGAGTTGTGGATAATGGGAAGATTATCAAAGGATGTAACAGGATGTAGATTGGCTGAAAAGTTGGGCAGAGAAATAGCAGATGGAATTGTTTAATGCGGACGAGTGTGAGGTGGTGCATTTTGGGAGGTCAAATGCAAGAAGAAAGTTTGCAGTAAATGGCAGGACCCTGAGGAACTTTGAGATACAGAGGGATCTTGGTTACTTTCGTTGGTCAGGGCATTGAGTATAATAGTTGGCAGGTTGTGTTGTACCTGTATAAAACTTTAGTTAGGCCACATTTGCAGTATTGTGTACAATTGTGGTCGCCATACTATAGGAACAATGTGGAGAGTGCAAAAGAGTTTTAATAGTATGTTCCTGAATTGGAGTGTTTACCTATAAATAGAGGTTGGACAAACTTGGATTGTTTTCACTAGAGCGTTGAAGACAACCTGATTGAAGTGTATTAGTCAGAATCTTTTTCACAAGGTAGAAATGTCAAATACTAGGGGGCATAGGTTTAAGATAGAAGGGGAAAAGTTTAAAGGAGATATGTAAGGTAAGTTTTTTTACACAGAGAGTAGTAGGTGCCTGGAATGTACTTGCAGGGGAGGTGGTAGAAGCAGATATGATAGCAATGTTTTACATTTAGACAGGCACATGAATAGGCAAAGAACGGAGGGATACGAACCATGTGCAGGATTAATTTAGAATGGCATTGTGGATGGGACAGACATGGTGGGCTGAAGGGTCTGTTCCCGTGCTGTCTGTTCTATGTGCTATGACTGCTTCTGCCACTTCCTTCTCTTCACCTAGAAGTCAAATTAGCCCCAGGTTTGAAGAGCTGGAGAATTGTCCCTCCCCTATTCTGTCTGTGAACTTCCTTTACTTTCCTATTTCCCTTCTCTGAACTGGTCATGTATATGATACATACCTCCGATTCTCTCAAACTTATTGCTCATCCCCATTCAGTTTCCGTGTTAAGCCCTATATTAGCTCTTATGGTTTATGGTCACCTTCTGTTTTTCTTTTCTTACTCCCTTCACAAAAAAAAACACCCTTCATCCCACATTCTTGCAAATTACACTGAATCTCCAGCCTTTCCAGCCATTCTTCTTGGACAGATTGCCACTTCCTGCCATGCCCCTTTTTTCCACGTTTCCATGTTTCACCCTCCCCAAACAGATTTCTGCATCTGCCACTGCCCTGAAATGACCCTTATTAATGTCACTAAGAAACAAACTGTACTCCAATAACTCTTCCTTTGTTGATTGGAGTGGGTTCTGTACCTGGTTTTGCACTTAATTATCCAGTTATGAACTGACAAATTGTACTCCATCTGCCAAACTTTTGCCCACTCACTCAACCTATCCATATCAATCTGAAACCTCCCCAAGCCAATTTCACAACATACCTTCAATCCCCTCATCTACGTCATTGCTATAAATTGTAAAAAGTTTACAGCCCAGCATG